TCAATTGGATATCATGCATACAGAAAGCCTACCAACACCAATAAATACCTGAACTACAATTCACACCACCCACTGGCTCATAAAATTGGTGTAGTGGACACTTTACTTATTAGAGCTTATCGAATGTCAGACGAAACCCACATCGAAGAAGAATTGGAATTAACAATTGACATTTTAAAGAAAAATGATTATCCAAACAAGTTAATTAAGAATAGATTGGATATAGTAAAAAGAAAAGCAGAACTAAATTTTCCAAAAAAAGATCCGGAGTTTGAAAAAAGAGTCATTTTACCCTATGCTGGAACTGTAACTACGAAAATAGCTAAATTCTTAAGAAGAAAACTGGAGATAGAAATTGGATATTACCCCGGGACTAAACTAAGCTCTCTTATATGCAACACAAAAGAAAAACCTCCCAATACCAAAGCAGGAGTATACAATTTCAAATGTAAAAACTGCTCGTCTAAATATTTTGGAGAAACTCAAAGAGATTATGAGAAGAGATTTGCAGAACATCTATCCGACATACGCAGAACAGTAATAACCAGAGTCCGGATAAATTTGTTCTTAAAACCCCCGAAATATTTATGTAAAATGTTCAATCAAATCGCCAAAATATGTATATAAAACATATTTTTAATTCGCTCTAAATTGCGTCAAATTTAACTTATTTTACTGCAGAAACGAAAAAAAAATTCCAAATGACAAACTAACAACGTTTCCACATGCTCTGGTATTATTTCTACGATAATCAGAATTTTTTATGTATTGTGAATTTCTGAGGTTTCTCGAAAAGGATATATTTTTTCGAAAAAATCGCTGAAATATGTAAAAACATATTTATGTGTATCAAAAATAAGATATATTTTTGAAAAAATCGCCGAAATATGTAAAAACATATTTATGTTGATCAAAAAATGCACATTTTCGGCAAAATAGTCGAAATATGTTAAAACATATTTATATGTACCAAAACCTGGAAATATGTGAAATATGTGAAAACATTTTTTTGACCGTGTGACCTATGCCTGACCAGGAACAATATCCCAAAGTTTCAACCCGATCGGGTTATTATTGAAAAAGTTTAAAATACATACATATCCGGACTCTGGTAATAACTTCCCCGGTAGCATTACACATGACAGAAAATGATCATCAAGTGGACACAACTTCTATCGAATTAATTATGAAAGAGAAAAGATGCTACTTCCGGAAGTTTAAGGAATCATTATGTATACGTAGCACAGAGAACAAAATGAATAACTCTCAAGGAATGAATATCAACCCTATATGGTGCTCAGCACTTGTCACTTTTTTAAATTATCAGTCGCTATAATTACCCAAACTACACTTCATTAATTCCAAAAAAAACAAATATGTATGTACTTCGCCATTTATGTTTTCAGTCCAATTTACGACCTGATGAAGGTATCTGTATGTACCGAAAGCTTGTCAATAAACTCAATTTCAAGAATATGTCCTCCAATGCCGATCAATCAGATTATAGAAAAGTATTTGTTTTGTTATAGAACACAAGCCAATGTTCAGCCGTTCATAAAAATCATCGTGTTAATTCATTTTCATTTATAAAACTTTCATTCATTTTTCGTGTTGATAAATGAAAAATATTTTTACACTAAAATACGAAAATGATGAGAAAAATTCTTAAATAGCACGTCGTTTCCTCAATTAATCGAATATTTAGAAAGATTGCATTATTCCAATATTATTTGCATGCAAATTATTTTTGTGCATTTTGGTGCATTTTCATGCACTTTTTAGGATTTTTAGTGGGTGTCAATAAACGTTTCAAAACATTTTCGTGCACTAATTTCGTCCAGGTGTTATTTAACAGCAGAAACACTGCTAATATCCCTAACATGTAAATTCTATCCTAGTTTCCCAATTTGACTTATGCACAAGTTAAAAATAGACTTTTGATTTGACAGTATAAATGTATGAATATGTTACTTAAATTAATAACTTAAATTCTCAAAACTTCATGCAGAATTCCAATGTTGAATCAAATTTACTCACGAGGGAAACCTTTTTGGTGCCCTGAGCCCCCAGCGTAACCACTATATACATTCGACGCAGTTTTTAATACTAGTCCGACGATGTAACAAAATTTACGTGTTAAAATGACATTTGGTCACGTTGTGACGACTTTAGTGACGCGCGGAACGGTCACTTTCGCCATGCTTTTAATAGCGGACGTCCACTCACTCGCTCCTCGCTTATCCTGGAGAAATCTCAACCCATTTACTCAAGCTGGCACCGTATTTTGAACCATATTTTTATAATTACAAATTAACTTTAATAATAATTATAATTAATAATTGTCATTAATTATGACACCAGATTAATATTCAACATTAATTTACCTACCTATATAATTAATTAATTATAATTACTATCTAAGTTTATTAGTAGTTATAAAAATACAGTGCAAAAAAAAGTGTCAAAACACAGTGCCGGTGTTGAGTAAATGTGTTGAGTAAATGGGTTGAGATTTCTCCAGCGAGATGAGCGAAGAGCGTGTTACTGGACCTCCGCTATTAAAAGCATGGCGAAAGTGACCGTTCCGCGCGTCACTAAATTCGTCACAACGTGACCAAATGTCATTTTAAGACGTAAATTTTGTTACATCGTCGGACTAGTATTAAAAACTGCGTCGAATGTATATGTTGGTTATGCTGGGGGCTCAGGGCACCAAAAAGGTTTCCCTCGTCAGATATGTACGTAAGTAATTTGAAGAAGTTCGTTTCAACCTGACAAAATTCTTGCAAAATCCCCCCACAAGAACTCAAAATTCCTTAACAAGCCCATTTTTTAAATTAGCGTTTCTACCGTTTGGGTTTATGCGTGAGACAAAAATGAATCACTTTTTTCGAAAATTCAAATTAATTTTTCCGGAAATTTTCTGAAAATACAGGCCGTTCACACGTACATACATACAACTCAGGTTTACATGAGATGATTTTTTTTGTGTTTTATTCACGCGAAAACTAAGCATATCATTATTTTTTATTCTTAAGACTAACTTCAGGAACGAATTTTAAACTTTTCCCGCCAAAACCTACGGTTCTACAAAAGTTGGAACAGTTTGAATTTAACGCCAATTCAAAAATTCAAAAATAAGAACTTCCGCTTGTAAAATTTAAATATCAGGATTTTCTGTCAGTTCCTGTGGACATAAATTCCTGTGAATCATTCAAATTTTTAAAAAAATATTGATGTTTTTCTAATCAACCAAGCAAATCATTGTGAAGAAACATATTTCCGACTATTCAAATTCGTGCTAAAATTCCAAAACTTACACGATATTATTTTGGAAGCAAAACAATTTAAAATTCCCCTCTCGCGCTCAAACTAACGCTTTCTAAAAATTCAAAAAATATGTACATATTGGTTATGTTTTTTTGGTTGGTATGTTTTTTTCGTGATCAAAATAAAACTGATCACATGTACATAAACCTAAACCAGAGGTTTACACATTAAAACCATTGTGTGCAGTCTGATTTCTTCGAAATTTTTTAATTAAATATCAAATACTGATTATTTACTCGCCTTGAAAATATGTGATTAAGACCCATTTTTTACCCCTAAAAAATTATCGGGTTATGAAAATAAAAAGAGAAAAATTAGGGGCGCCGAAATATATTTTGCCCTGGTAAATATTTTGGGTCGCACGGGCACTGCCTGTAATAAAGTTATAATCAGTCGGATAACTAAATACTGTACATGTAATTAATGGACCTTCATTAACTGTATTAATTAAAGTATTAAATCAGGTTAACGTGTTACAATTTGAATTGTATAGAATTTTTTCAAATTTATGATTGTAGTAAATACTGAATTTATGTATGTATACTAGTTTTGCATTAAATTATTAAAATAACATTACGTCGTACTAATTCTAAATAGTTCTAAGTGACATTGGTGCTTAATTTTAAATAGTCCTAAGTGACATCGATGCTTAATTTTAAAAAGCCCTAAGTGACATCGATGCTTAATTTTAAAAAGTCCTAAGTGTCAAAAAAATTTCTAAAAAGTCCTAAGTGCACCCATGTTATTAGTTATGCATAATTTGACTAAATACTATGGGTGCACTTAGGACTTTTTAGACATTTTTTTGTCACTTATGGCTTTTTAAAATTAAGCATCGATGTCACTTAGGGCTATTTAAAATTAAGCATCGGTGTCACTTAGGTCTATTTAGAATTAGGACGACGATTTGTTATGTGGCCCAATGTGGACAAATTGTTTTGTAAATCGCTGAAGTTTAAAAGAAACTTTATTTTGCTACAACCTGAAATAAATGTGATACTAAGGAGGAGAACGTCACCACCTGCCCTTCACAGATCTCGATGCCCTTTGGATATGTGGTAGGGTCCTATGAGTGTACTAAAACCCTGAAGTGGTTTGACTCCATGGCCACATTTGCGCCCGCCACACCCACTCAAAGGCGCCAAAAACACGAAAAAAGCCCTGTTTTCATGTTCTTTAAATGCCACCAAAAATCCAATTTTGCTCGGATTTTTATAAAATTTACATTTTTGTGATCCCAGATACTTGTGTGATCATATCCAGTAGATATCTCAACTTTTTTGAAATTTTGAATTTTTTCGAATAATTCATCAGCTCGAAAATTTCGAAAAAATCAAAAAAGTTGAGATTGCTATTGGATATTATCAGACAAGTATCGGGGATCACAAAAATGCAAATTTTATAAAAATCCGAGCAAAATTGGATTTTTGGTGGATTTTTGAAGTTGGTAACTTTTGTGGTTTTCATCCCTTCGAGTGGGTGTGGCGGGCGCAAATGTGGCCATGGAGTCAAACCACTTCAGGGTTTTAGTACACTCATAGGACCCTACCGCATATCCAAAGGGCATCGAGATCTGTGAAGGGCAGGTGGTGACGTTCTCCTCCTAAGAAACAGAAAAGTACAACTTTAACATTTTCTTATTGTTTATGTATGTACAAGTACTTCATTAATCTGGATTATATTTGATTTATTTCTTTGTATATGTAGTTGAAACATGTTTATATTTTCAGGAGTTGAATTTTAATAGTTGAATTTTTTGAATAAGATCCTGAGAATCTTTAATGATGTCCCAATGTTGGAGAATCAGGCCTTGGTTGGGGTACTGGAGGAAGTGGGCGATTTGGCGGTGGGCCAGGTGGCGGTGGTTGGGCACGATTGGGGGCTGGTGGGTTTGGTGGGGGATTTGGTGGACGAACGTTAATCCTCTGCGCATGCGGGTCCTCTTTCCTCTCTTGACGAAAATTTTGTTCCATTGGGATGCCAAAAGAGGGTGTGGCAATGAATGCGATCAGGATAACCTTTCGGGCAAGAGAGATAAATAAATATTTAAACGCTCGAAATAAATTTGAGTAAAATATACTCCTGGTTGAGTTAGATTTGGGATGATACAACAGTTGAGTAAAATTTACGCCACATGGGGTAAAATTAGACAACGTGGCGTATTAATTGGGCAACGTTGGGAGAGTGTAATCCAACTGTTCTGTCATTGAAAGAATTTTACTCAATTTTATTTAAAATGAAATATTGTCAATGTTCGCAAACCTTGCATATTTGGCCAATGAAGCTCAGCTTGCGAATTTTGCGAAGTTTGCGAACTTTACCAAGGAAATGTTTTTACTTCGCGAATTTATTTAGAAAAAATTTGCTAAGATGCGAAATATGATATTGTTGAGAGTACGCAGACTATTCGTATGTAAGTCTAATTTTTCAGGATTCATATTGAATGTGAGTACTTACGCAAACAGTGAAAAGAAAAACCAACTTCATGTTTACAGATTTCTGTTATTTCTGCTTGTGGCTGTAAAGGATTTCCAAAATGTTGGAATTGATGAACTGTGAAATTTTATATGATCGTTGCAGCTTTTATGGGTATGGAATTAACGAGGCAAATACCACGAAATATTTCCGTTCGCGTCCTCATAGAGGGTCCAGTAATGACATAATTACATTTAAGCCGAAATGGGTAAAGTTTTCTGGTAAATGTCATTACTTTGTCGTTAGTGGTTTCGTCGTTAAGTGGTTATAGAAACACGTCATGCTGGACAATAATTATGCTTAAGTTAAATAGCAAGACTGGATGCCGGTTGAATAGTAAGATTGGATTTTGACAGGTCAAGATTGTTTTGACGCATGGTTAATATGCCTTTTTTTACAAAGGGGTTAAATCTATGTATCTATATTTGTAGTGTTACATATATGTACATACCCGCAATCTTTTTAATATTAGTCAATGTATACATATCAGTAATATCAGTGTTGTAGTAGTTAACTACATAATGTAGTTACACAACTACAACGGTTTTGAAAAAAGTAGTTGTAGTTAAAATTCAACTACATTTTTAAAGTAGTTGAGGAAAGTAGTTCAACTACTTTATGTTCAACTACGTAGATGTAGTTAAACATCTACGTTTCTACTACATTTCAACTACATTTCAACTACATTCACTTTTTAAGTTTGAGAGCAAGGTATATGTATTTCACAATTTCCCGACACCATGGAGTGATTACCTAATAATTCAATTCAATTTTGCCAAAAAACGATTAGAAATAGCAATGTATGTATCTTGAACAAATCTCAAAGAAACCAAACTAAAATATATGTACAGGTAAAATATATGTATGGTGTATTTTTTTATTAATTGCAAAAGCGGTCTTTACTTCTTTCTAAAAAAGTACTTAAAAAGTATTTGAAACGTAGTTGAACAGTAGTTGAAATGTAGTTGAAAAGTAGTTGAAAGTAGTTGTATTTTGTAGTTGAACTACTTTATTGAATAGTTGGAAAACACTGAGTAATATATACTAATCAGTTTTTACGTACGTATGTATGTAAATTTGTACGCATTATTAGTAAATAGCCCCAGGAGAGATAAGGATATTCACTTTATCAAGCTGTTGTATTGCATATTTCTTTGGTATCACATTATTTTCATATCATGAAACCCCTCATCCTGGGTCGTCCTAACTTTCCAAATCAATTCCAATCGCACCCAATTTTTTTGGGGTTGCGAATTGCCCATGTTTATGATAATTGAGAAAGTTGGTTATACACAGAAATAACTGGGTCGAACTGCAAACCGTCGGGTGGGGTTAGTTCGGGTTTTTTTAGTACCCAGGAAAGTCGGGCATGGGCGGGTCGGGTTTTCAAAAACCTTGACCCATCTCACCTCTACCTATAACCTACAACGCCCATTGTCGAACTCATTCGTCCTTCAAAAATGAGAAACATGTTGACTAAAACTGCGTGTCGAAATTCGAATCGGTTCTAAAGTAATCGTGGATACAGACGGATGGACCGACAATACATTTGCATAGAAGGATTTCGCTTCACTTCGCCCCTCAATAATGAAGTAACAAGTTAATCTAGATATTTGAATAAAGTTCAATAATTCGGACCGTTCAGCACTAACTCCTCATCTTCATCTGTCGCAAATTCTTATAAATTAAGCAGAAAGGATTCATAGAGTCTATGGGCGAAAAGAATTTCCAGCTCGGTAGATGTTTCAACCTATATACATAGGCAATAACACATTTAAATATACGAGGGGGACTAGAAAAGTTTCCGGCCTGACCTTGAAGTGGTTTCATTTTGCCCCAGTTTTTTCTATGGCTCAAAAGATAAACTCATATAGATCTCTCATAGCACAACTAGAAAAAAATACGGTCATGGCCGAGTCAAGGAGGTCGTTGTATGTGACGGAAACCAGTGAAATCAATCAAATCACGAAAACTGACTTTGAAAATGGAGACAAGTACTTCTTTCCACATTTGGTCACCGGCGATGAAACCTGGGTGTACTGCTATGACCCTGAAACCAAACAGGAAAGCATGCAGTGGAAGCACTCCGACTCTCCACCCCCAAAGAAATTTAAAGTACAGAAGTCAGCCATGAAGGTGATGGCAACAGTTTTTTGGGATTCGGAAGGAATTCTCCTTGTCGACTTCTTGGCTCCAAAAACTGCGATAACTGGCGCCTATTATGCCGAAATTTTGAAGAAACTACGACACGCTGTGGTGGAGAAACGACGAGGGAGAAAGTGGCGTCGCTTGCTGCTTTTACACGACAACGCCCCACCTCACACATCCAAAGTTTCGCAGGATGCTATTTCAAAAGAGAAGATGACAGAATTGTTTCACCCCCCTTACAGTCCAGACCTGGCCCCCAGTGATTACTACCGGTTTCGACATTTGAAGAAAGATCTAAGGGGAAGGAGATTTTCAACCATTGAAGAGGTGAAAGCAGCAGTTTTGTCCTTTTTTGACCTACAAGATGCAACCTTCTACAAAACTGGGATAGAGTCTTTGAAATCTAAATGGACCAAATGCGTTGAGCTTGGAGGGGATTATATTGAAAAGTCATAAGGTTAGTATCCCAAATTTGTTGCGGCATCATGGTCAGGCCGGAAACTTTTCTAGTCCCCCTCGTACATTTCATTATTGTCTAGTCAAAAATTGTAAATTAGATACCTTAGCACACTCTTTATGATTTGCTTCGATTATTTTTGTATACTCGGCGAGAATCCCAAATGGATTTGGTGCAAATTCAATTTCAAGCGTACCTATAACATTTGTTGAACGAATTTTAAAATACACAATACTAGGATTAAATTTCTAATACATCCACTTACCAAAGCTGGTTGATGGCGCTGAGGACATTTCGAGATTAGACATTGCTTGGTTCTTGTTTTTAAGTTTTTGAATTCATACTTCAATTTGTTTTTTTTCAATTTGTTTATTCAATTTTATTGTTTATTTTGGCCGAACACGTGTCGACCATTGGAACGCGAAGATGGAGAAAAGAGCAACCAACTTACTTCTCCCGCCAAGAGCCCTTGCATGAATGCGACAAAATGCATACACAACAAAGATAATTATATAATTGTATTTGCTATATAGCAAATAATTATAGAATAGCAATTAATATTAGAATAGCAGAATTAACAAATAATTATAGCAAATAGTTATACGTTTAGAAGGTTACATTATTTTACATAGATTCAATTGTGGGCTTTTAGAATATGTATGATGATTGAAACATTTGTACAAGCATAGCCATTATTTTTTACTGGTTACTTTTTTCTGTTAATAGAATCGACACTTTTAATGACTTATTCCTGATTTATTTGATAATATAAAATATTTCAAATATTCGGTGGAAAATTGTGATGTTAAAATGCATAATATTGAAAATTTCTATTATTATTATGTACCTTATATATTATCACAGCGGAACCGTCCTTGACATCCAAACAAAATTACACTTTTGGTTAATAATTTCATATTTATTTTAACTCTTTCGAAAGCTTGTTTGAGAATTAAAAACGGAAAATGACGACTTTCCGTAATACATCACATTACTGCAGCAGCAACTATAATACCACACATACATATAAAATAACGTTTGAATTCCTCCCGCCATTGTCATCTTTACTTACTTCATTACTTTCTTCAATCCACCTGTTACCCGTGGGAATACGAAATTTGACCCTCCCCGCAGTATCTTCTAGTTTAAAACGCCCATTCTTTACTAGGATACCACTTGGAAGGATGTCCCAGTTGAGCAGAAATCATCCTCGACTTGGTAATAAGAACAGTCTTCTCGCAACCCGCGGCCTCCTGTTCCACGGCGGCATCGGCAATTTCTGGGGTAACCTGCGTCTTGTTGATCTTAACATAATTGTTCATAACTTCAGCATGATAAGCATGCTTAGGATTAGCAAAATCCAGAAGTAAAGATAAATATGTTGCTCCCTTGATTGACTGGTGTTTTTTAAATATCGCTAAGTACCTCGGATTATTAATGTCATACAAATAATGTGTCTCCGTTCCAAGGTAAATCAGGAAGTCGTAATTACGAATCCCTGGCTTTTCTTTCTTTACATGAGACAAAAGTCTAAAGCAGTCCTGTGAGACGTTCTGATCTCCTGGCTTTATAAACTCGTTGATTCGATCGGCAACACTATTTTTCCAGTAACTCGCTCCCCTCTGGCTACCAGTCATACGATTTACCCAAGACTGCATACTCAACTGATCAGATTGACTGGCGCTTAATAAATTTAATCGATCATTAGTATCACATACTAAATATTTCCAATATATTGGATGTGACCCTCGTAGCGGAGCATTCAAGTCGGTTATCATTAACCCATCGTAAGCATTCGTGAGAAAAATCAAGAATAGCGACCACGTACCGAGAATAAGACGGATGAATGTTATTTTTATGTAGACTGTCATAACTGCAATTAGTATTGGCAAGCAGAGCCCTACCATTAACCAGAGTAAGGACTGGAAAGGTTTAACATAGAACACAAAACTAATCGAGGGTTGGGTATGGCACGTGATGAATTGATACCCTCCAAATCCTGTTAGTATAAAGTATTCAGAGGAAATGATCTGGATCCTGTCGGCGACATTGACGAGATTAGCGATTGCTCTATGTTGAAAACCCTCATTTACATTAAATAGAAAAATTGTCGACTTCTCTTTTACAATAAGTTGATAAGCCAGGAGGAACAAAGGCGACCATTTGATCGAACGGTCAAATGGGTTTGGTTGACTCTGATGGGGCATTTGTGAAGCGAAACCTTTGTATGGTACGTCCTACATTTGGGCGGCTTTTGCAAGTTTAAAATAGTCTGATAAAATTTTAAGAAACGAAATCCTTTCGGTTTTAATCCACACTTTATATTTTTTTGGTTTATTTCTGTGCTTTATTTCAACGCACAATTGTATACCAACCTTGTCTAGGGTAATCGATTTGAAGGCAATTATTAGAACATAATATAAATCAACAGGGTCACGGAAAGTTTCTGAGTTAATTTTACCTTCCATTTCCGTCTCACTTAGAGTTGTCAGAATTATGATGAACGCTACTCTTTTTCCATAAAATATTTGCTTTTCTCCTGCCTCGGTGA